GTCATTAGATGGCTGCTCCCTGTTAAGAGTGAGACACACAGACCTGAGCGACTGAACATTTCCTGCTTCTCTCTCATGAGGTTATAATCAATCTCCTCGTACACGGCCTCAGAGAAGGGATCCAAGGGTCTTCTGGAACCTGAAAACAAAGGGCAGGGTTTGCACAGGGTCGTTGAAACCAGAGATGGGAAAGACTATGGGATCATCCAGCCCCTCCCCCTGGGCCCAGTTCGAGCCTAAACCCTACAGCACATTCCCACTGCTGGAATTTAAATGAGCCAGGGGACAGGGTTTCTTTCCACAACAGCCCTTTAATGATGGTTCCCAGGGCTAGTTTGCTGTCTGGAAGCTTCCTCACATTCATCTTAAATGTTCCCTTTTTAATCTCATCCCATTATTCCTGGTTATTCCCCTTTGGAGCAGTTTAAATAATTCTTCCCCCACGCGGTGTTTATCTGCAAAATGGTGATAAACTCAATTAAAAAAAAACGATGTTAAGGCCAGAAGAGACCATTAGACCACCTAGTCTGACCTCCTGTATAACACAGGCCACTGCATTTCACCCAGATACCCCTAGCTTTGAGCCCAAAGATTCACTTAGACTAAAGCACCTCGGCAGAATAAGCTCTTGTGTGCCACAGGCAGAAAGCAGGAGCGATTAAGGTACCACCAATGCCCAAGATCCCTGCAATGGCAGGGAACTGACTATGTGAGAGATGACTAGATAATCCTGGCAGGCGATCCATGCTTCATGGTTCAGAGGAAGATGAAAATCACCCAAGGTCCCTTTTTGCCAATCTGAACTCTGGGAAAATTCTTTTCTGATCCCAAATCTGACAATCGGTTTGAACCTGAGCATGTGGACTGGTTCATCCCATCCAGTGTCACAGCTCCCTCTGTAGCTAATGTGTGATGCTTCAGAAGAGGGCAAGAAACAAACAAAAAAAAGAAAGCAAAACAAAACACAAATGTGGGGGCTTCCCAGAATTCTTTCCTGACCCCTGCAGGTGACTGGCTGAAGCCCTGAACCATGAGGTCTGATAATAGTCATTGTCTTACTGCAAAGTTGTGAATGTTATGCGTATGTTGATGGCAATCCCGTTCTCTACCTTCTTTCCAAGGAGCTGGTAGCTAATGTTTGTACAGTGTTTTAGAGAAGTAAAAACCCCTACAAGTGCCAGCTTTGAGTACAATACAGTATAATGCTCCTTTCCCACACTTCTCCTTCCTCAGATTGTCTTTTCTACTGGATCACGCTCTTCACAACTATTTACCAGCACTCGATTTTTATACACTTGTTTTTTCATGACAATATTTCCAATTTCTCTAGGTTCCTTTTCCATGATGTCTCTCCTCATGATATCCAGAACCCCTCCCTGTGATTTATGTTCTACTGCATTTGGGAGGGTTACCACAGCTCCTTCAGGAAGAAAAACCAGTGTGGGTGGGGGATGGGGGGCATGATTAAGGTGAATCATGGAGATTGTAACAACTCCTGAAAAGTAACAGCCTTCAGGGTGGTTTATACAGACTAGTTCAAACTGGGTTACCAGAGACCAAGAGACAAAGAAAGACTTCTGGTATGAAAGGCTGAATTTAAACAGACTCAGGGCTTT